TTGCTCGGTGAAGCGGTCACCCTCAGCCACCTCCGAGGAGATCTTGGAAGGAGTTCAAAATCGCAAAGATCAAACCCTTCCACGGATGCTGTGAGAAGGATGATGAAGAGGAGGATGGATACGGAATATTAACAAGTCTGCTTGTTGGTGAGGTTACGGCTGTCACATTTAGCTAAGGAGGACTTTGTTCTCCTTGAATCCAGGCTGGTGGCTTTGCTTAGGTTGAAAAGCCTCACGCTGACACTTGGCAGAAATGAAATTAGCAAGTCGGTTGGTGTAGTTTTGCATCAGTTGAGAGCTGGGGAGAGGTGGTTGGAGAATCGATGTCTTAGAACCTATCATGTAGAAAATCAATGGGTCTTTTTAGGAATTAACCATGGCTCTCTCTAATTGGGGAGAGAGGATTGTCTTAGAGTTACTCACATACACTCAGAGTGGCATTCCCAGCCACTTTTTAAGGATCTACATAATGAAAAGGAATTTTACCCCATTCATCTTCACAGAAAAGTATGTAAAAGGTTTGGTGGTAAATGCAGGGTGGTACAAAGTATTTGTTGGCATGAAACACTAATTAGTAATCGCTAATTAAATTTGGGGGTGGGGGTAAGGGAGAAGTTGTGTCTGGTGAAATCCGAACATTTCAGATCATCCTGAGCTAATATCCAACTTCAACTGCTGTGATGTTTAGGGATGCCCTTTAAAGAAATCCTTGGATCCTGTCATTAGGATGTTGTATTTATATACAGATACCAGAGGTGGTGACTTGCATTTTGTGGATAGGATTTTTAGGACAGAAAAACAAAAAACCAACAACTTCCTGCTGGTTTCTTTGCAGCTGCTCCATTTGTTTGTAACCCCACCCCCACCCCCACCCCTTTGCTCCAATTGAGTATTTTTCACAGACAGGCAGAAAACAAAACAAAACAAAACAAAAAAACACTACTGGGTTTATAATGTCCATCCACTCATGTGGAGCTGGTATCTGGGTGATTTTCCTTTGGCATGTTAAAAGCTGTCACTCAAAAGCATCTCTTACTATTGTTATGTTTGGTTTGGGATGTGATTTGAAAGGGTTAGGTTTGGATTGAGGCAGAAGTCTAGCATTCCATGCTGCAGACCCAGGTTAGATTCCCAGCCTGTCCATTTCTTGGATCGCCACCACCCGTGTGTCAGTGGTGTCTTGTGTGTTGTTGTGATTCTGAGCATGTTTCAGTAGAGATTCTAGGTGAAGAGTTGGAAGAAAGGTCTGGCTATCTCCTGAAAATCAGCCACTGAAAACTCCATGGAACACAAGAAGAGATGAGCATCTGATTATGGGATGGCACTGGAGCTGGCCGCGTGGTGTTCCACCGTGTAGTAGCTGTGTTGCCATCTCCACTGCAGCCCATTATAGCAACATGTTTTGGTCGGAGGTTCAAACCCACCAGCTGCTCCTTGGAAACCCTATGATTTAGAATCAACCTGAAGGCATTTGATAACATGTATTTGGAGTTACACAATCCCATTCCTATGAGTGGGGTAGGGAAGTGAATACACGAAAGAACAATGCAGATGGGTTTCCTACAGCAAAGATAAGACCACAATATCTCCTGTAAAACTGAAGTCTACATGGGACTGCTAAGCATGGACCATCCTACCAGCGTGCACGTGGGGTCTACGTGAATGAAGTAGCATGAGGAGTTCTGGTGGGGCTCGGTGGAATAATGCACTGGACTGCAAGGTCGATTTGAACTTCAAGACGGGTGCTTCAAATTCAACAGCCGCTCCTCAGAAACCTTATACAGGATTGTTTTGAGTCAGAACGGACTTGATGTCACTAAACCACAACACCAAAAACAGAAGCCGGTTTGAACCTCAAGGTCGATGGTTGAAGCTCACCAGCCACTCCTCAGAAACCCTATGCAGATGATCACTATGAGTCGGAACCAACTCGACATCACTAAACAAAAACCAAGCGTGAGGAACTAAATTGTGTCCTCCAAAACTTAGGCCTGATTTGTAAATCCCAGACTCCCTTCCTGTGGTTATGATTCCATTTGAAAATGCATTTTCTTTGTGATGTTAATGAGATAGCATCCATTGAGGGTTTGGCATTCCTCAATCACTTACAGTACATAAAAGCTTCAGATTGAGTAAGCAAAGATGGTGGAAGAGAGATGGCAAGCCACAGGTGTTCTTCAGTCCCCCAGGAAATCACAAAGTGGGGAGACCTCCCTTCAGACCTGACCGACTTTGAACTCGTAATGTCCTGAACTATGAGAGAGTAAATTTCTGTTTGTGAAAGCCACTCTCTTGTCGATTGTCGATGTGATTTTTAAGGCTCAGATGGGTCTGTCGTAGATAAACCCACATAAGATGACCAACCCCAAACCACCTTTGAGATGATGCTGGTTCTTAAAGCACACAGTAGAACTGCCTCCTAAAGTTTCCACAACTGTCGGCTTTACAGACCTGAGAATGCCTCATCCCTCTTCCTCGGAGACCATTGGTGGATTACAAACGCTGAGTTTTCTGTTTGTAGCCCAACATGTAATCAGCCCACGGTAACACCAGAGCGTCTTGTAGAGGAGTAAATGACATTTGTGGCCCTGTAGGATAAGCTTTGGACTGCTAACCACAAGATTGGGGGTTCAAACCCACCGGGCGTTCTCAGAGTGACAATCAAGTGTACTATGGGTACCAGAGATTGAAATATGGCTCTTGAAGAAAACAGAGGGAGTGTAAGTTAGGTTGTTTGGATCCAGGAAAATAGGAATGAGGAAAAGGATATTGGATTCCAAAGACGTCTTTTGGCTCAAGGGCTTATCTGGTAGAGATTTGGATATGAAATTATATTCAACTTTGTGTGGTGATTTACACTTAGAGGCTGCTTGAGAAAACATTTCAGATTTTGAATCCGAGCAAGAAAGTGAATGTCTTTGTGCTAAACAAATTCAATCAACAGAGAAAAATAAGTTTTCATTCCCCCAACTTGAGCGATTTTGCTGTGTGTGAGGAAAAGGGAATAAAATAGATTTAGAAAATGGATCATTGTGATTGTAAAAAATGCCTAAAAGTTTCTCCTTTCCACCTTCTAAGGGAGGAGGGGAGGGGCTGAAAAACTTTTGATACCTTGAGTGAAATCTCCATTCGCAATTGACAGGAATCTTGCTTTAAAAATAAATAAATAAAAGTATGCCAGTTCTAAAATCAGTTGTTGACACCGTTGGGGGAATTTGAATATGAATTGGTTTTGGGATGAAATTAGAAGTTTCTTGGCGTGATGGACATTTGTTTGTTATATACACGTTTAAGTATATAACAAACTTAAAGTAGAGGTGCTTGCTAAAATGTTTACAAACGGACCTCTCTAATGTTTCTGGCTTACTTTGAAACTTCAGCATGAAAAAAAAAAAAAAAAGAAATGAAATTGGTAATAAAAACTTGGGTGGAAAAATTGACATTCTAAGATTTTGCATATATGCAGGCACACAGAGACAAAGAGGTACACACAAACACAGAGCCATAAACACTTATAGCTGCTGGTTTTAAGTGCTGTCCAGTAGGTTCCTACTTATTGTATAGGGTTTCCACCGAGTGGCTGGTGGGTTTGAACTGCCGATCTGTGGTTAGTAGTCTAGTTCTTATGGTACAGTACCACACCAGGCCTCATAAACACATATGCAAATCCATAAATAAATACAGAGAGAGAGAGAAACACACACACAACCACATAGATAAACACATATTTTTTCTTTACACCTGGACATCTTTGGCATTTTGCCGAAGAGAATGAAACTGGGTACAAGAATGCGACTTTGAAGCTAGTGATAACACTTGTTATTCTTGGTATTGTCTGGTGCCATTCTGCACCTCTTAAAAACTCCTGCTGCTAACCCAACAGTTGGCGGTTCGAACCCACGCAGTGGCCCTTTGGGAGAAAGACTTGTGGATCTGCTCCCGGAAAGATGTACTCTATCATGTGGGATCATTCTGAGTAAGAATTGACTCGATGGCACCAGGAATCATAGTGGTGGTTATGTGCCGTGGAGTCGGTTCCGACTCATAGCGACCCTATGTAGGGTTTCCGGGGCTGTAAATCTTTACGGGAGCAGAAAGCCTCATCTTTCTCCCGTGGAACGGCTGGTAATTTCAAACTGCTGACCTTGAGGTTAGCAGCCCGATTCATAAGCACTACGCTACCAGAGCTCCTTACCGGGAACCACAGAACATAGACCTCCTTTAGATGAATTTTGTCCTATGTCTGAGTCCACTTCATATCCATAGATGACACACTGCACTGTGATACCAATAAAAAACAATATTCATTGTTGCTGTTGCTAAGTGTCATTGAGTACGTTTTGACTTACATCAACTCTGTGTAGGGTTCCAGAGGATGGTGTGGTGGATTTGAACCGCTGACCCTGGAGTTACCAGCTCAGTGCTATGCTTACCAATAAACCATCCTGTATGCCACAGAAATGTTTCTCCAATGTTGCTTCTCATCTATTGCCCCTCTACGCCCACTCAGCGCCCCCATCCCTCCCTACGCACTTCCAAGAATTCTGTTCCCTCTCCTAGTGTCCCTAGAGGACAAGAGTAGAACTGCCCCATACAGTTTCCAAGGCTGCCATCTCTCCCGAAGCGACTACCATCTCTTTCTCCCTCCGAGAAGTGGCTGGAGGGTTTGGAGCACTAACCTTTCAGTTAGCAGCCCAACACTTAACCCACTATGCCACCAGGCTTCCTATCTAAGTGATGTTGCTGTTGTTGTTAAGGGCTATCGAGTTAGTTCTGACTCATAGCGAGCTAGAGAGGGTTGCTGGGGAGCAGCTGGTGGGTTTGAACCGCTGACCTTGTGGTTTGCTGTACAGTGCTGATCCTAGTGCCACACCAGGAATCCTCCTAATTGATGGGGTTGGCAAGATCAAGGGAAATATGAGATATCTTTTCAAAGGATCGTGATGTTGTTCATGTATATTTTGTCTGCGACAAACGTTAACACCTGTGTTTCTTTGTAGGATTTTTAAGTACCGGAGACCAGGCAGCAAAAGGCAACTATGGGTTACTGGATCAAATCCAAGCCCTCCGATGGATTGAGGAGAATGTCGGAGCCTTCGGCGGAGACCCCAAGCGAGTGACCATCTTTGGCTCGGGGGCTGGAGCCTCTTGTGTTAGCCTGCTGACCTTGTCACACTATTCAGAAGGTAAGGATGGTGTCCCCTTGGTGGGCAGTCGGGCATTAGGAGCCCAGGTGCATATTGCTGTAAATCTCTCTTCCAGCTTCACTCCCACAAACAATGTAAAAACCAACTACACACCTTTTGGCTTCACGTCAGGTCTCACTCATGGCGCCCCCCGTGTGTGTCAGAGAAAACTCCACAGAGTTTTCAGTGGCTGCTGGTTCTGAAACTGAATGCCAGACCTTTGTTCCAAGGTACCTCTCGGTGGATTCAAATCTCCAAATTTTGGCTGTTAGCAGATGAACGCAAACCATTAGTGCTAAAGCCAGCATTCTTCCCGTTGTGGACCTTTCCTGATACGATTATTTTCTGCGTTGAATTTTTGGCTGATGGCGTGTGTTTTGAATCTTGGTGTTGTAGTGATTCCGTGCCAGGCCTGAAAACAGAAAGGTTTGAACCCATCAACAATTCTGAAGGAATCACAGTCCAGCTTCTGTAATGATAACCAGCATTGGAAACCCTATGGGGCCGTTCCACTCTGTCCTGAGTCAGAATCGACTTGAAGGAAGTGGGTTGGGTGTAGACATGCTGAAATCAAGAGAAAACACTTTGTTCAAGGTTGTGTGGCTCTTGATACAATTATGTGGGACACATATGTCCCAGTGGAGTGTTTGGCTGTACTGGTGGGGTGGGACCCATTTCTTCAGGTTGCAGTTACACTGATGTCCACTAGGTGGCAGCACATGCTGCAACTGGGACAGAGGTTTCCCGAGAAACCTGAATGTCTGAAAATGCAGGTGGTTGCTACATGAGGGGGCTTCAGAAAGGTCATGAAAAAATGTCATTTGCTTTATTTAAAAAAAAACAAAAAAAAAACTTTTTATTGTGACTTGAATGAAGGCTTACATAGCAGGTCATCAGTTCCATAGTCAACAAATTACACATTTCCTTTCATTTCAATGATAACAATCGCCTCATTATCTTTCATTTCCAGTTTTCCATCAACTTTCTGAATGCCTCCCGCCCCCCTCATCTCCATATGTCCTAACATGTCACGAAAGGGTTACTATCCCCTCCGTCTCGTCCCCCAATCATCATTTGTGACAATAACAAGTTAGTGTCGGTAACTTAATTCATGCCCCTTTTTCTGATTTTGCCCACCTTCAATTTGATTCTATGTTCATTGTAACACGTTCAGAATAATCAGGAAAAGTCACCGAAACCAGTTTTCTGTTTCCATCTGGTTTTCAATGGTCTATCGTTCAGAATCACTGGATAGCCAGGCCTTTCCTCTGAGGTACCTCTGGGTGGACTTGAACCTCCAATCTTGGTTTGTTTTTTTTTGTTTTTTTTTTAGCAGTGAAGCGTGTAACTGTTTTCACCACCCAACTCTTTGTCAAGTTGCTTCAGAGTCATATCAAAACTGAAGCATAGAGTAGAACGTTCAGATTTCTGAGACTAAAATCTTTCTGGAAGTTGAATGCTTACCAACTTTCTCCTGAGGGGCGGCTGGTGGGATTTAAATGATAACCTTCACTTGCATGTGGTTAGGAATCTCTTGGTAGGGCTAACGGTTAGCCACCCAAACAAAAGAACTAATAGAGAGGTTGCAGATTCAAATTCACCTAGAGGCGTCGTGGAAGAAAAGCCTGGCAATCTACTTCTGAAAACCATACAATTGAAAATCTGAGGGAATACAATTCTGTTCTGGTACTCGTGGGGTGTCAGGAGTGAGACCCATCTCACTGGCAAAGGACTTGAACTTGGATTTCATCAGGTATTCATATGACTTCCCAAAATACAAATACATACGTTGTGTACGTGACTTGTACAGGGGACTTCAAAAGGCTCATGGGAAAATTCCATTTCTTTTCCATTCTGCTTTTACACGATCTTTCCAAAGCCCCCTCCTTTGGTGAGTACACTGCTATCCGAATGATCGCCAATGGCTTTGAAAGAGGTGGGAGGTGGGGAGGGAACCAACACAGTATCACCCCCAGAAGTGTATTTCTAATTCGTATGCTGTGTTAAAATATTGAAATACTTCCATTGCATTTTTAAGTACTCCCAAGCATTTGTCTTCAGATCTGCACACACAGGCACAGCTGACACATTTCTGGTGGAATTTCAGAGACTTGTCAGTGGACCCCATTACTACTTCTGCAGCGGCATGAACAGAGACAGTTTCATTTAGAGGCAGAACCTGCATCTTTTGACATTCCTCTTGTCTTTACAATGTCATTTTCCCAATTACATTTCATGTTTTCCCAAACTTGCTCATCTTAAGAGTGGGCGAGATGGATCCAACTTGGCCCAGAGTGGGATTCGGGGATTCAGACTGGAAGCCAGGGTCAACACAATGTTGGGGGGTGGGATTCTGCTTCATACATCAAGACACTATCAGACAAATCTGATGGGAAACTTTTAGCTCACCCGGCTTTCACTACCAACATGGCCTGAACATTTTCAAGTTGCTCATCTCTACAGGGCATTTTGAAATCATGGTCACAGAAAAGAGAGAAAATGCCAAGCTATGAATTGATGTATTTTTGAAGTGCACGATTTTTTTTGTTTAAAAAAGGGAGGCCAAAAAAATAAAATGTGTTCCTGGGCTACTCAAATGAAGAATTTCATTAAGAGAACAAAGGTGATCAATGTGTTTAATTGCAAAGTGTTAATATCTTCATGATATGCATTCCCCATATAATTATACATTATATTTCATCATCCTTGTAAGTGGGTAATTTTTCCTTAATTAAGGACTGAGGGGTGTGAGCCCATAGGATATTTGATCTCTTCCTAGTGAAAAACACGTTTCTTTGTTTTTTTTGGTGTTTATTGTTTTTAATCCAGTGATGGCTATGATTTACCATGAGGGCCTTCAGTTATGAATTCTGAGAACAGCCAAGCTAGACTCAATTGAAGAAGGATACAGAGACTGTATGTGCTGTTTTTTTTGTGTGTGTTTTTCAATTATTTATAATGAAAAATATTTCTTTAGTGTTATCAAATTATTCACTGAAATGGTTGACTAGGAAGACACATCCAGTTTATAACTCCATTCCCCCTTATAATGAAGATATTAAAACGTTTCAACTCAACAGATCAATATCTAAAGAGAGTTTCAAAGTGTCTTGTCTTTAAAACGTGCTTGGTTTTTAAGAGACTCCTTTTAAGTTTCATGTTCTCCGTCTCGTTTCTTAATGCAACTTATTTATTATTGTTTGTTAGCGGTTTCTTGTTAATTTTTCCAGCAGCCTTTACTTTGCAGAGTGGCACAGTATTTCCATCTGATCCCCTCCCCTGCCTACACTGTGTCTGCCCTTACTGGCTGTTTGCCTCCTTGCTGATCCATGTGTTACAATTGCTGAAGCGATATTGACACATTGTTATTCACAAAGTTTCACAGGCAACACTGGGCTTCACTGTTGATGTTGTCTATACTGTGTGTGTTAAGAAATGTGCATAATGTTATATATACCCTGTTGCCCTTGGAACACTCTAGATTCCATCTTTCATCCCCTCCCCTCCCTTCCGGCCCCAAACCCCTGATCTTACTGCTCCCTCTGTCGTTTCCCGTTTTCCCAGAAAAGCCTTGTGTCACACACAAGCCGGCATATTTTTCACACTGTAGGGAATGTCACGTTGTGTTTTCCTCTCTTTAACCAAATTTTTTTTTTTTTTTTGGTGCATGTAAAAATATCCCTTAAAATGAATATCCAACAGGGGTCTGGTGGCAGTAGGGAATGGAAAGGGAGAGAAAGAGTAACCAGGGGAAGAACTGAATGGTACCCTCTCTGAAATTCACCTGGCAGGGATACAATGTCTGCATTCTCTGTAGACTGAAAGCTGCTTTTCTCCTGCTGGGGGTGGGGGGTTGTTCATTTGCATGTCCACTGGGGGTATTCATTTACATATCCGTCACTTGCACCTGCAGGTCTGTTCCAAAAGGCCATCATCCAGAGTGGAACTGCTCTGTCCAGCTGGGCCGTGAACTACCAGCCTGCCAAGTATACTCGGATCTTGGCAGATAAAGTGGGTTGCAACATGCTGGATACGATGGAGATGGTTGAATGCCTTCGGAATAAGAACTACAAAGAGCTCATCCAACAGAGCATCGCACCGGCCACGTACCACATCGCCTTCGGGCCGGTCATCGACGGGGATGTCATCCCGGACGACCCCCAGATCCTCATGGAACAGGGGGAGTTCCTCAACTATGACATCATGCTGGGTGTGAACCAAGGCGAAGGTCTCAAGTTTGTGGATGGCATCGTGGACAACGAAGACGGCGTCACACCCAACGACTTTGATTTCTCCGTGTCCAACTTCGTGGACAACCTTTACGGCTACCCCGAGGGCAAGGACACGCTGCGGGAGACCATCAAGTTCATGTACACGGACTGGGCCGACAAGGAGAACCCAGAGACGCGGCGTAAAACCCTGGTGGCCCTTTTCACGGACCATCAGTGGGTGGCTCCTGCTGTGGCCACTGCCGACCTGCACGCTCAGTATGGGTCTCCCACCTACTTCTACGCTTTCTACCATCACTGCCAGAGCGAGATGAAGCCCAGCTGGGCGGACTCGGCGCACGGTGACGAGGTGCCCTACGTCTTTGGGATCCCCATGATCGGTCCCACTGAGCTCTTCAGCTGCAACTTCTCCAAGAACGACGTGATGCTCAGCGCGGTCGTCATGACCTACTGGACCAACTTTGCCAAAACCGGGTACGTTTTCCTCAACTTCAGTCCCTTAGTGGCTTGGGGGCTCTGCTCACAGAAAGCTCACGGGGGTCTTCTGTAACAGAGACAGACATGGTTCCAGGCGTCCTGGTTCAGGGAGCCAACTCTAGGGGAAGGGTCTTTCTCTTGCGTGGTGGGCCCTGGGGAGAGGTCCTTGTGTCCATTTTGCATATGTTCCTGGGTTCCTTGGAGGCCCCCAATTGGCTTGGCATCTGCCTTCCCCATGTGTTCTTACTTGTGTCTGTGGTCTGCTCTCTTCATATCAAAAGGGCTTCACAGAGTCTGTGGAGAAACAGAATGAAAGGTCATGAGAGTTTCCCATGAACTTTTTGAAGCCCTCCCCCTCTCCCCATATCTTGATTCAAGACACCCTACCTACACTTGTATGGTGTCGTTCTTATGATGGAAAAATAAAAACCCTGACCCCAACCAGGTTTAGGAATCCTGGTGTGGCACTGTGGGATAATGCGCTGAGCGGTGGGATAATGCGCTAGACTGCAAGGTCGGTTTGAACCGTGCTTCAAGCTCACTGGCTGCTCCTCGGAAGCCCTACGGAGGGTCGTTATGAGCTGGAACTGACTCTTAGCAACACTTAGCAACAACAACAACAACAACAACAAAAACAGGGTTAAATCCATAAGTCGAATCAGACTAAACCCATTGCCCACCTACACCAAATCCTCACTCTGGGTGCCCATATACGACAGAGTACAACTGTCCCCAAGGGCTTTCCAAGGCTGCAGACCTTTGTGGAAGCAGACAAGCACATCTCTCTCCCACGTAGCCACTGGTGGGTTCAAACCCTCAACCTATTGGTTGGCAGTTGAGTGCTTTAACCACAGTACCACCAGGTCTACTTGTATCCACAGATTAGATTCTTGAATGTATATTTGAGGGGCACAATATAACCAGGTCTACTTGCATCCACAGATTAGAGTGTCATGTATATATTTTGGGGGGCACAATTGAGTCCCACCCTATGCGGTTGTCACTGCCTTCCGCATCGTACTCTTTTTTATTGTGAATGTTGTTGATATGATTGAATGAACTGAAATGCTCTGTGGCTTGGACACACACACACACACACACATAACACTGATTTCTTTCTAAGATCTATTGGTAACTTGAAGTCCTGGTGTGAGGCTGAAGAATAATGCACTGGAGCGAAAGGTTGCTTTGAACCAAAAGGTTCAACCTCACCGGTCGCTCCTTGGAAACCCGACACAGGGTGGCTATCAGTCAGAACTGACTTCACAGCCCTTCACAACACCGATGGGTATCTAAAGAGCCCTGGTGTCACAGAAAGTAAGCACTCGGCTGCTCACAAGATCAACAGTTCCGAGCCATGTAGCGGATGTCTAGGCGAGACTTGGCAGTGAAGAAGACAGCGGCCACATGGGGTCGCTGTGAGTCACAATGAACTTAACAACGTTCACAGCATGGAAACCTACTTACTTTGTTTTTTTGTGGTTTTCCTGAAAGTGCAAGGGGCTTCCCAAAGTTGGTGGGAAATCCCACAATCTTCCAGTACTGTTGGTGCACAAACTTTGAAGCCCCTCATCTGTTCACAGTGGTCTTCGTGGGAGGTTGTGTGTCACCAGCTCGGTTCGAGTGCAGCGTTTCCGAGGCTGTCGATCTTCACAGGAACAGAAAAGTCTCATCTGTCTCCCATAGAGCCGCTGGTAGATTCGAACTGCTGACTTTGTGTTCAGCAGTCCAACACATAAGCCATTATGCTACCAAGGCTCCTTATTCACTCCAGTACCGCTGGATGATAAAAATGTGCCAGAATCCGCTCCATACTCAGTGTTGACAGGGATGGGCAACTGGACATTGGCTACCCCAAATGAGGGGTGGCTACAAAGACAACAAGTGACTAGCTTACAAGCTTTCAAGAGGGAATGTAGATCCAGTGGGCTCAGAGGAAGGTAGAATCTCCAGAGTAGTATCCAATCTGTCTGGGCAGGGCTGATGAAAGGAGATGGGGATAGGTCTCTTGTGATACAATAGTGAAAAATTGTTATCAGGACTGACTGAGGGCTGGAAATGTAAAGGTAGATGTTTTGTAGCAAAAGGAGGGGAGCGATTGACTGCAGTCTAGGAGTGGAGGTCCCTGGGACCATCAAGAGAGAAGAGTAGAGAGTGGGACCCTACCCAGAGAAGCAGTGATGCCTGAGATGGAGGCAGAGATGATGACGTGGAGAGATGGAGCAGCTGGGGACTTTAGACACAGAGAGGGAATGGGGCTGTGTGCTGACGACTGGGGGGCAGGCTTGCAGAGTATACCCTTTAGTTGGTTGATGATGCATGGAGGGGATTGTAACCATGGCAATGAAATGGTATATGATAAGATGTATGTAATCAATGTAAAGTTAATGTTCTCCCACATAAACGATCACTTAATTCACATTAAACAGCAAAAGAAAAGAATACAGCCTCAAAAATCCTATTGATCAGTTCTACCCTGACACATGGAATCACTATGAGTTGGAATTAATTCGGCATACAACAGCAAATTTCATTTCCTCATCTATAAAATGATGACAATCCATGTTTCTTGTAAAGCTAATGAGTGAATAAACGTAACTTCTAGCTATAGGCAAAAAAATGTGCCAGATCCCTTTCGGTCTGCCTGCCGGTGTAGCATTTAGAAGGACAGGTAGATCTTACAGATTCTGCAGACTCCATTCCAGACCACCGCAATAAAGCTGGTGTGCCGATTAAACATGGCACCCGGAATTATGATTTCACAGAGCCTAGAAGAGTGATGTTGGCTCTAGGCTGCCATCTGGGAAGCAGACATGATGAAACACTTGGAGATAGTGGGGGAATGACCGAAACAGCACACAGACACACAATGTTGGAAACCGGGTGCCAATAAACCTGCTCATCCCCAGGGTGGATACAGATACATTGTATTTGCAAAGCTCGCTGAAGTAAGCGAAACGCTAAGAAAACTAGTAGGCTTGTATACTGACCGGCACATTGATAGCTGGTCACTGAGTTTTAAATCTAAAGATGACCTCATCCTATTTGATAAACCGTGGATGCTAAAACACATGGACCGTATGGCAAACCAAGTCAGAGGAATGACATCGTCCCATAATAAGCGATAAGCTGGTTGCTATGGTATCTGCTCAAACGCATGACAACTCAAAACCCAAGCGCATCCTCCAACACAACAGTTTCCATGTTTATAATTCAATAATTAATACTCATGACTTCTCTCAGATGGGCAGGACCACCTAAAACCTTCCATCATCATGAACTTAAACTCTGTATCTCCCAAACAAAAACGTTCCCTTTTCTACTACCTCCCACTCCTGGTAACCACGAATAAGTCTTGTTTTTTTTTACGTGGCTGTTGTCATTGCTATGTGCATTCCAGTCGGTTCTGACTCACACTAACCTGATGCACAAGAGAACAAAACACCACCCAGCCCTGCACCATCCTCACAACCATTGCTAAGTTTGAACCTATTGCTGGTGCCACTGTGCCAATCCATCTCCTTGAAGGGTCTTTCTCTTTTTGGATGACCCTCCACTTTACTGAGCATGATGTCCTTGTGTTCTGAAGGTCAGGTCATTTCGTATAAGTGGCCTCATAACAGTGTTTGTCCTTTTGGGACCGGTGTATTTTGTCCACATGTTCTTTTCAAAATCTCATTTGTGTATCAGAACTTCATCTCTCTCCCCACCTGAGTGATAAGATACTTTCTGGTTTGTCTGGATCCCATTTGTATTCATTCATCTGTGGGTGGGTATTCTAGAGGAAACGGCTGCAGGAAACTGATATAATGCAAGTCTCTTTAAATAACTCAGGGGAGTTATTTAAATTTAAATTTTCGAATGCACACTCATACCTGTTTTCTCTTAACCGTGTCACATCCACGCGGATCACTGTCAACCAGCACCAGTTTCCAGAGCAGAACTCTGGACTCACCTGGTTTTTCTAAAGTTGATTGCCAGGCCTTTCTTCCTAGGTGCCTCTGAGAGAATTTGTTCTTCCAGGCTTTTAACTAGCAGCTGAGAGTCCTGGTGTGGCAGTGTAGGATAAGCACTGGACTGGCAATCCCAAGGCCAGCAGTTCAAACCCACCAGTTGCGCTAGGAGACCTATACAGGGTAGCGATGAGTCGGAACTAATTCAATAGCAGACAGCAACAAATCTTTAGCCATTTGTACCATCCAAGGACTCCATGAAAACCAGAAAGCAAACCACCTGTGTGCTGCTACTCAGTCCAATGCTTGAAGACCCCAGGTGTGACACATTAGGACTGTGTACCCTATAGTTTTCAGTGGCCAATTTTCCAGAGGTAGATCACCAGGCCTTTGTTCCAAGTTACCTCTGGGTGAACTGAAACCCGCAAACTTTTAGGTGAACACTAAACTCATTAACCAATTGATTCTCCTTCATTATTTGCTTTCTCTCAAACCACAGACTTCCTTTTTGTTTCCCTTACCTGCTTTCATGATAATATGATGAGTGTTGTTGTTGTGAAGTGCCGTGGAGTTGATTCCGACTCATAGCGACCCTGTACAGGGTTTCCGAGGCTGTAAATCTTTACAGGAGCAGAAAGCCTCATCTTTCTCCCCAATATGATGATAGTAGCTGTATAAAACTTGATATTCTTTTCTGAAATGAAGAGCAAGTATCAATTATAATGAGTTTTTCTGAACCACAAAGAAGTTGGGAGCTTGAGCTTATACCGTTAAACGGTTGTTGGCTCTTCCTGCTGCTGAATTGCTCATCTGCAGAGACTGCTTGTTACTCCTTCCTTACTGAAAAGGAAACAGACCTGACCCACACAGTTTCAAATGTGGCAAAGAATTGCTGCCCTAAGTGGGCGTTTCCTCCTGGTCATAGGGAAAAGCCGAGGACCATCTGAGGAGACAGCCGCATGTCTGTGTGGTGATTGTATGACTTCCAACACAGCCTGTTGTCCCGGGCTGCTGAATGGACTCCTAAGTCAAGACAACGCCATA